ATCTTGACCTAATTTTATTTGATTCCCAGTTTAATTTTAAAATAGCTACTTAGTCTTCTGGCAGATCACATATTGGGCAAAATCACAATAACGTGAAAGTGAGGAGTTCAAGGAAATAATGATAGTATACATTACTTTGGATGTAATGTACCTAGGGAGTTAAGAACTTTTTGCTTTCTTAAGACCTGTGAAGAGAAATCTTCATCTTTGAGTCAGCTGGTTCTACATTCAAATAAAAGATGTGTGGAGTCTGAGAGGGACAATCTAGCATAAAGCCTCATGCAATCTAAGATTCTTGTTGGAATTATCCAGAGTTATGGAACTCTTTTTTTCCCCCAAAGATTTTATTGATTTAAAAAAAACATAAACAAACAAAACACAAAACATGAAAACATAAAACATCTTTTTTGAAAGCAGCTTGATCCTGGGTTACATCTCTTCGTACAGACACAAATTCAAGTTCATGCTCATTTTTATATACCGTTCCATATCTTATTACCATTCTACATTTTCTATATAGCTTCTCCCCTCTTTTAACTCTCTTAATTCTATTTTATTTATTTCATCTCAATTTAAATAATTATACTTATATCCTTTGTCTGTCCTGTTTCAGCTGTCTATTATCTTTTCTCATTAAAACAAAATTTCTCCTGTAATCACTGATTGGAGTATGACGCCTTTATATCTTTCCCATAAATTTATAACACTTAATATAATACATAACTTTCATTCAGATTCTGCTTAGTACATTCTAAAGCTACACACTATATTTTAAGAAAAGAAGAAATTATAAATGCACAATATAATTAAAACAACAATCCATACCAGTTCAACTCTATTGTTAAAATTAATATTCATTTAAATCTTAAACATTTTACACATTACTTTTCAAATAGGTATCATGCTTCTATGGGAACACTTATAAATTTTGTGTAGTTACTTCCCCCCATTTCACTTATATTTTAAAACACTGTGTAATTAAAATGTTCCCATTCCTTCCTAATTCAATTCTCTCATTTATTTCATTTCATTTATTTTGTTCAAAATAAATTACACTGAGTATTTCATGCCATTTTTTAATCATATATTGTTCCACTTTTCTAATATTATTTCTAATACAAGTATAACAATAAATCTTATGTACCTTTGCAGAATCTCATTTTCAGTTATATTTTTACCCATTATCTCTGAATAAGTCCTGTTTCTTTACATCTTGCTCCAAATCTTTGTAACTTCTCTTCCCTTCCTTCCTCCCTTGTTTCTTCACTCTACCTTTTTTTACCCCCTTGTCTCTCCACCTCCATTTCCCTCTTCTGTGTTCCCCCTTTCTGTTGCTTTCTGGCATTATATCCACTTTTCACTTTATTTTTCCCTTTTTTGGTTGTTTTTTTTAGGTCTTAAATTCTCCATTCTCTTTCCCCCCCTTTCCCCTTTCTTCCCCAGATAAAGTTACTTGTTCATTAAAGATGGCTTTTTCTTTGTCCCAATCTTCTTGTTGTGCAGTTTTTTTCTTGTAGTTTTTCATAGGTACAGATCGCCATTTCTAAGAAATGAAAAACGGAGCCAAAAGAGCCCTTCCCTCTTTGTTCCTCTTCTTTATATTTTTTAAATTCCATTTTCAGTTCATCCACAAGTGATGCCATTGTAAAAAAAAAATTAAACAACCACCCAATTGTTTTTAATCATTCAAATATAATTTCCAGAAGTCCCAAAGTCACCAAACAATCCAAATACACACAAGCTGTTTCATTTAACACTTTCTTCTTTTTTCACTTTCTCTTCCTGGGGTTACTATTTAGTTACAAAGTTCCAGTTAAAATGTATCTTGTTACAATTTAACTTTAGATTCTTTTAAATTCCAAGCAGCCTCCTCCAGCCAAATCTTACTCTTATTCTTTTCCTCTCCCTTCCCACTTACAGCAAAAAAAAAGTTTTTTAAGTGTTCAGAAATCTTTATTGTCCCCTTGGCATTTAATCCAGTTTAATTACTTGTTAGTGCCAAAGCGGATTTTTTCGATTTCTCATTCATCTGCTGTCAACGTAAGGAAGGAGAAACTTTCCCTTTTCACTTTCATTCTCTGCTTCCAAATCTTCTTTGGGAGCGATGTATCTTTTATAAGATTTAAATTCCAGGGTATCTCAGTTGTTGCTTCTTATCCCGGTCAGACAAAACTTTCATTTCTTAACTTCCTCCTGCACTTTCTTTTCCGGCTGAGTGCTTCTTTGAGGCGGCCATTTCTGACCGCCGCTCTTACCGCCTTCGGGAAAGGGAATTTAGCCATCTGGGGAGGAAAGATGTGGCTTCCCTCGACCCTGCTGGGATCTCCCCCCTCTTCGCACCTCTATGGGGTGGCTTAGCTCCAGCGGCGAGCCCAGGCAGAAACCGCGCATGATCGCGGATTCCTGCCTGTCGCCGAAGCCCTGCAAACCGGAACTCCAAAGTTATGGAACTCTTGTTGCCTCGATCAGAAAGAATTTAATTCAGCATGTTGTCTGACATACTGTTATCAGAATTATCATACAGATAATTTTTAAAAACACTCAGAATTTGAGTACAAAATGTCATATTCTTACAGTGAGGAAAGCACTCAAAAACTGTTTGAATTTAATTCAGTTCATGTTGTCTGACATACTGTTATCAGAATTATCACACAGATAATTTTTAAAAACACTCACAATTTGAGTACAAAATGTCATATTATTCTTACAGTGAGGAAAACACTCAAAAACTGTTTGAAAGTGATTGAAGAGAAGGAAATTAATGACTAAGTTAGCAACTTTGAAATATATTTAGACTAATGAAGTGGTTGCTCAGAATGTTCATATAAACAATGATCTTATAAAGAATGATCTTATAAACAACGATCCCTCATCCCTTGATTGGCAATTTCTATTCACTGGATGCAATACTGTAGAAGACCATTACAACATATTTTTACTTGAAGTTAAAAGAGTCATCAAACTATATGTACCATTAAGAACTCCCAAAACCAGAAAAAACAAATTACCCATAACAATAAGGAAGCTTCAGTCCAAAAAGAAATCACTTTGGCGGAAAAACAAATCTGGTCATGTTGCCAACTTCAAAAGCTGATACAAAAATTTATGCCACCAGATAAAAACTGAATGTACCAATTATCACATTAAACAAGAAGAAAACCTTCTATGCATCAATTCCACCCGCATTTTCTACAATTTTGTAAACAACAAACTAAAAGACTCAAGGTCCATCCCACCCCTGATAGGACCTAATGGTAATGACTGCACCATTAAACACCATTAAAGCCAACCTCTTTAACACATTCTTCGGCTCAGTATTTGTAAACAGCAATTGATCATGCCCAGTATTTCCTGGCCGAACCACAGAAAATTACAATTATCTAATACATATCAATTTTACAGAAGACAATGTTGAAAAAGCACTACACAATCTAAAACCATCTCTATCTATTGGACCGGATGGAATATGTGCCTACTTCTTAAAAAAGCTATCCACTGCCATAGCCGAAACTCTAAGCATAATCTTTGAAAAATCTTTCAGGACCAGCTCCTTGCCAAAACTATGGTCACAAGCCACGGTCATCC